CATAAGAAAAAGAAACAAATTACCAGCTCCTCCTCCATCACTCACTTGATCAAAAAGAAGCAGACAGCCCAACTGGGTAAAACCTGTGCAGCTTGGGAGATTCGTACCCACATGTCCTCCTTCTGTTAATCGCCGTTGTCACTTGAGTTTATGTTGTCCGGTCGAGTAATAATTGGTTGAATTCAATTGCTTGGAGGGTACGCCGGCCGTAATAGTCCGATTGAGAGCCGGAGCTCTCTAACAACTTAGGAATGGGACGGTTTTTAACTACCAGATGGATTTGTCAGCAAAGCCGTGAAGGAGCGGACGAGATTCGGGCCAGAGGTCGAGAGAAGTGGTCCTGATCCCCCCCGCGTGGCAGGATCTTTGGAAGTCCTCTAGGTTGCTGTACCGAGTAGAGTTAGCAGCAGACTCGGACCGAGAGAGGTAGAGGAGAATTTCTTCGAAGAGCGACTCGTCGCATGGGATCGCCAGCGGACCTTGATTGGTGAAGCCGTACTCTTCCTCGGCTTGAACCAGAAGTTTCTTGAAGACGGGATGGTTCAGGTACGTCGCCCGCACCACGAATCTTCTGTAGTTGCGGCCCACGCATACGGCCACGTGTCCGGCGGGGACGTCGGATGGGATACGAGCACGGGAAGAGATGCGCGCGGCCAATGCGGCTTTCTGGCGCCATTTCCGGAGCATTTGCCTGAGTCTGACGATGTGCCGGATTTTGCTGCATTTTCCGATGCCGGCAGGCATTTTCCTTCCAAGAATACAAAAGAAGGCGAGAGAAGGAAAGGAGGAATGGTTTTTGGTTTGGCAGCGGGTGAGGCTGAGGGAGTAGTGACCAGTGAGGGAAAATGGGGAGTAGTAGAGGACTTGGGAGGGATGGTTTTATAAATAGAGGAATACCAAAATGCCCTCCGTGTTGAAGATAATCACAGCATTGCATTGTATCCTTCACTCACTGCTCACTGGCAGTGGCAATGCATGGTGCCAAATACCAGTTTCCCTCTATACTTCAAAGGAGTATCTTGATATTTTGGTCCAAATAAAATACACAATTTTAAAATAAGGAAGGGTAAATTTATTAAGAAAGAGAGAGGCAGAGCATTGGATTTAATTCAGAGAGTACTTTGGTAGAGTACTTAATGATACGTACAATGTACGACGAAGCTGTACCTTGTTTTTATGAACGGGGCAGGCCGGGTATCCATCCTCTTATCCAATTAAACACAAATGACTGGTTGGTCCCAATTCTCAACCTTTCTCTCCCCCCCCCCCCCCCAAAAAAAAAACAATTATATGAATAATATGGACTAAAAATTTTTGGTGAAAAAAACTTGGAATAGAAGGAAAGAGAAAAAGTCATCACAGTTGTGTTGAATATATCTCTTTCATTTTTTTTTTTAATTTAATAGAGACTAGTAATATGTGTTTGTTTACTTTGTTATCTATCTGACTATCTCATTCTAAATCTCTAATATAACTTCATGGCAAGAGTGTTGTAATCTTAATTAATTACAACTTCAACCATACAAAGCATGAGATACCTGTAGCTCTAATGGTTTTAGACTTCTGGTTCGGTTTCATTTAATTTAGAGGGCGTTTGGTAAATCTTTTTGTATGGTCTTTGAGGTTTTTCAAAGTTTAGAAGGCCAAAATTTGATATTTCTTTATTTGGCAATAAGAAACAGAGGTCAAAAAAACCTATGCCCTAAAAAGTTTACATAAGTTTTTAAAATGGCCAGAAATCTGAAATGAAACTTCTTGTTTTTTTTGCAACTAAAATCTTTTATTCAACAACTTTTCATGCCATGGTAAATTAGGATACTCACCAGATAACCTAAACCTTTAAAGACATGACTCAAAAAGCTCATTACATTTTTTGCCATTGAAATTATATATATATAGAGAGAGAGAGACAGTAATCTCTCAATATATGCATATACGTGACTCCTATTGCAAAACCACAATGAAATGGAATTTTGGTGAAAGGTGGGTGTTGGTGGAATTGGGTGAATGAAACCGTGAACGTGGGGCACGCAACAAACATATACATGCAAATTGGAAACGTACGTAGGTCAAGAAATGTTGAGTCGGGAGCCACAGAAAGCACCTTTCAAGTTGTTTGGTGCCGTATAGTTTATGACATGTCCTTTTTTTCTCATAGGAGATAGGACATCCCAATGCACCATTCAATCAGTTCCATCAGCCCAAAATTTATATATACATTTGCAGCTTTCTCTTTTAATAAGGTGGCTAAAAATTATCGGTGGAAATTATCACTGGAAGAAATGTAGGGAAACCTATTCAAGTTTTATAAACCTTATCTTTCTCTTCTTTTTCCTACTTTTTCCTTTAACTCTAACACAGTTTAAGGCTTAATTTGAAGAGAATATAAATATAAAATGTGTATATATAGAATGTAAAACCTTATATTTTGTATTATTTTATATAGATTTGTATTTAGTCCTTAGTCCAAAGTGAGAATATGATGAAAAGAATACAGGGGTGATAGTCTTTACTCCTTTTTCTATAAATATGCCATAACAAATTAAGTGCCTCTCTCTCTCTCTCTCTCTCTCTCTTTCTCAGGTTCCCACTCTGCAAGCTATATATCCTCCGTCCGCAAACCCACGTCATTCCCCCTAATTGCTCACTTTTTGTTTGATTTTCTTTCTCCTTTAATTAAGAAAGAAAAAAGAGTACTACTCATTTGCTACCAAATGCAAATTAAAACCCAAATTAAATGAAGAGAACATAATGGATATAAAGTCATGAACAAGAGAGCAAGAATTTTTTACTAAAAAGCAGACACAAGCATAAAACAATGGAAAAATAAGAAGGACGAGAGATGAGACGCCCATGGGTAAAACCATATCTGTGCAGTCCGTGCGGGTGTCTGTACACACCAAGGAGGAGGTTGTAACTTGGAACCCCACCACATGTGAAGTTGGAAAAGTACTCTATCTCTCTCTCCATGTGTAACTGTTGTACATTTATCCTTTTTTTCCTGCTGTTAGAAAAAGGAAAGCAGGTAGTTGAAAGGTAGGCCATTAACAGTTACAAGAGCGAGAGCGAGATGCCTCTTCCCCATTTCTTTTTCTCGGTAACAGTCTTCTAAATGGAGAGATGCCTCTTCCTTTCAACTCAAACATGAAACACCAATTAATAATTTTTGTTCAATAATTTTTGTTTTTGTTTTTGTTGTGGGTGGGAAGGGGGGGTTGAGTAACAATTTTACATGTCACATTGTCACACTCCATGCTCCTCAGTCCTGACCACACCCCATGTGCCAAGATCCCTCTTTCCCTCCTTTTTAATTCCCAATACGAACTGCCAAAACGTCCAATATATACGTTTATTTATTTATTTCCTTTTCTTTTTAAAAAAAAGGAACTATGTTATCACCATCTTACCATTTACCAACTGTCCTCTTCATGGTAAAACCACCAAATTCTCTCTTCTCTACATTTTTTACTGAATATATGTATTGCGCCCATTATCATGTGTATGTAATTGATACCATTACCATAACAAGGTGAAGAACTGAAGGGCCACAAATCTATACGGGTTCGATCTGATCACACTGACCCTACCCATTCGCTTAGGTGGGACCCCATCCGACAATGACTCTTTTATACTCTTACGCATACTACACGTAGCTAGCTATCAAGGTCCTGAACCATAATTAAAGGAATTTGCATCCTCTGCTTCCCCTACAACACATCTCAATCGTGTATGGTGACCATCTTCCAATGACAATTACGGGAGATGTTTCAAATCCACGCTGAGATTTGCTTGTGGTGCGTCAACATGAACTCTATTTAGACTTTAGAGCCCTGTCACCCCCCATACAGGAAGACCACGCCACCAAAGACAAAGAAGCCAGTTTGGGTTGGATCGTGGGGTTGAACAGTCTGTGATTTGTAGTCTTGTAATACATAATTTATTTATAAGATAAAACAAGCTTGAGAATTGGGATCCAATTTGGCATTTGGTAGCTCAATTCTTAATTTGCCAAAATATAAAAAAAAAAGAAAAATGATAGCTCGATCAATTTGGATCTATGTGTTTTGGTATAACAAACGCCTTCAATTTGCATATTTGGGCCCGACAATCCTCATCCAAGTGGCAATAAGTCAGCCATCTCCTCCCTGCTTGTTCAATGGTTCCCTTTTGGCAGTAACAAAGAGAACTCCAGCGCTGTCTCATTATAGTTGAAGTGATACTGACAATTAAGAAAAGCCACAAGTGGCTGATTCTAAAGTATTCCCGCTCCACCCAATGAAAGCTATGTCCACGTGGCAAAACTGACTATCCCCATGGATTTTGAGGACACCCACAAGGATAATATACTGTGGCAGTGGCAATATTATTGGGAATGGGGGTGGAGTTGATTACTTGATTTGGCTCTATATAGTAAGGTAACACACTGGCATCCGACCCACATTCGGGCAATAGGGATCAAATACGTGATGGATCTTCTTGCTTTTGTGAATGTACTCTGGTGGGTAGAGTCTTCCTTATATTTTTGAACAACAGTTCAGGTGTCTGGCCCCATTTTAGAGGGCTGAGATTAACAATGGGATGGGATATGGGCCCCGCTTTTATGTTGTGGGACCTTGAGGCAATCCCCACTGTGAGTTGTTAGGGTTCATAGCTGCAATGGAGGAATATTTTGTTCTTTTTCTTTTTGAAGCCGATTAATGGAGGGATTCGTAAGAGTGGATTCATCACTCATGAAATTACTTGTTTAACTTTGTTATTTTGTTCGCGTTCATCATTTGTAAGATTTGTTGTCTTCCCAATATCTTCTTCCTTGTCGTTCATTAAATGTATCTTCATCTTTCTCTTCCTCTTAATATTATTATCAAAATATAATAAAACCATAATTACAGATTTAGGGAATATATGTTCGGCGGGATTCAGTAGCCAATTAGAGATCTAATCGAAAACAGTAAAAAAAAAAACCGTCAATTGATGAGTAATAAGCTTCGTTTATTTGTAATGCAGTTTTCATTTGCATGAGAATGCAAATTGGGCTGGTTTATTTTTGCTATTTGTGTGTATGGCTCAATATAGAAGAAGTATAAATATAAATATGTAGAGTATAAAATCTTGTATTTTGTATTATTTTATATGTTTTTCTACTTTTTTCAAACTGAACCTAAGAAGTAAAATTGAAAATAAAATGATGGGATAAAAGAAAACGGAGAATCCGGATCTGTTCTATTCCTCAAAGAGCACTCCTCATACCAACCTCACAACACATTCCATCTGCACAGCAGGAACATCTCCTAGATTTATGTATTATTATTCATGGGGAGTTATTCTTAATACACGATGGTATGTGTTGAGGTTGGTGTGAGATGCACTTTATGAGGAGCAAATCCCAAACACTCTAGTATTTTACTTTTGTATCTAGTAGAACTATTCATGGGCCGGGTTCAGGCTTGACTTTTGCTAAAATTTGAATGGGTCCAACCCAAAGCCCGATCCCAACAAAATGTAAAGTCAGGCCTGAAGCCTAATTTGGTAAGAGTGCAAATACAAATATATGTAGCGTAAAGCCTTATATATTATATTTATAAATCTTGTTTTGCATGGTAGATATTTATATTTGTACTCTTCTCAAATTGAACCTAAACACAAAAAATGAATTCAAAATTGACCCGAATGCAAAATTTATATGTGATTCTGACTTGCATTGGTAGGAGATGGGCGTTATGCAATTTTCTTTCTTGCTATCAGTTTAGACAGAGTACAAATATATATATATATATATATATTAAAACAAAGCGGCCAGGAAATTTTCTCCTTTTTTTGTATTTTTTATTTTCTTTATTCCATGTAATTTTTTAAAGAAACAATGAGATG